AACGTAGAAAAATTAACTACTCATTACCTTTCCGTTTTAACATAACATCACTTTTTTCTTTATGGTATTTTATATGCTTATATAGCTTTATATAATTTTTATATGCATTATTGTGATTAGAATATATGCACAATTTTATCTCCTTGTTTCCTATTTAATATATATTTCATCTTGTTATTATATTATCTTTATTCTTTTTAGACACAAGTTATATTTCATCAACGAACACTCCAACAGCACTATAATGTACTGATTACTGGGTACTCAGCTCACACTTCATTTTCTGCTGTGCTTGCTGTGCAGGATATTTTCACATGTGGCTTTTTCCACGGCCCATCATTTCTTTGGGATGTATTCCTAGAAGTAGGATAGGTATTCTAACATGGTGACGTTTCCTATAAAATGTTTCTCGTGTCCTTTGGCATCCTGAAGTAACAGAATAGTTTTAGAATGTAATCATTTAAGTTAGTACTATGAATTATTTCTCTACTCACTGTGAATTGTAATCTCTGTTATCATAACTAATACTTAGACAGTTGTTTTGCTTTTACCATTCTACTTGAGACAGTATCAGGTAAGTGCCTTTGTAGTGCCACGTTAAATTGAGAGGACTCACACAGGGTGTCCAGAGAGGGTCCCCACCTCCAGAAACTGCCCTGAACGCAGGTAGCTAACGGTCTGCCGTGGAGCCCGCCGGCGGGGGTACGCTGATAATCCGGGACTCGTCCTGCTGGCTGCCCCCAGCACCCGGCCCGTGAAAGCTCCCCCAGGGCTTCCCAGCCGCGAGCTCGCGTCCTGCGCACAACCACCTGGGAGCGCACGCGGCTGGGACTTGCATGTGCACCGCCAGCCTTGGCTCCCTGCCGCCCCCCCCCCCCGTGCAGCGCCCATTGTCGTCTTCCCCGTGGGGCTGCTCCTCGAAGGCCAGGGCTGTGAGCTGCCCGTCTTTTCATCTCCCAGCGCCTAACCGAGGGCGCGCCCGCCGCAGACTTCCCTTCGGCAGGACCGCACTCTCCTTCAAGGGGCTCCTCCCTGCCCTTCCCCACTGTCGTCCTCTCTCCCACCCCTTTGGTTTTATAACTTAGGATTTCTTGACGCTTCTGCCTCATAGACTGTGGGTTAGGAAATGGAAGTTACCACTCATATGGCTGTTTTATTACAGGCACCATTTTTTTTTACAAAGAGTAGGAACTTCACATAGTTTAAGGGAAAATGAAACCCTACATGGAGGGTGTGGTGGCGTCTCACTGCCACCAAGTGCAGGAACTGTGCCGGCCTCCGAGCGCTCCAGACAGGTCCGAGGCACCTGCCCGGTTTCTCTCTCAGGACCCACATCCCCTCCTCTGCACCTCTCTGCTTCTGGGTCGTCCCTCTCCACCTCCAGTCTGGCTTTCTCAGCCGCAGCACATGGGTGGCGGAGGAAGGACTGTGCCTGCCCCGGCCCGCACGACCACAGAAGGCCAGTGCCCATCTCCTTGCAGTTAACAAAACGGGCTGCCTGGGCCGAGAAGCTGTGGGGTGGGGGCAGAGTGGCCGGGAGGCCCCGTCCTGGTCCTGCAGCGGGGCTGTGAGTAGTGAGCAGTTCGCACAGTTACCCGAGAGTTTTCTGTGTGGTGGAGAAGGGAGTCCATTGGTGAAGTCATTTGGAGCTTTTAAAGGCACTCAGAGAGCAGGTGCTTTTTAAGAGGCAGAATTAGTTGGAGCAAATTCTTGGAGCAAATCCAAAGAAGCTGCTGAGTCATGGCTGGGAGGAGAATAGGAGTGGGGCGTTTCCATCGGAGAGAGGACCTTATTTCTGCTTCGGGCCCCAGTCTCTGAGAAAAGGACTCTGGCCTTTGACTCTGGGTGAAGCTGACAGCAAAGGAGGCCGATGTGGCCTCCTGCAAAAGAATGCGGAGCATCGTCGGCCCTGATCTCGGCCCTGCCGGCCCAGCCGCTGTGTTGAGTGCCTGTGTCGCCCAATGTGCCCTGAGACTTTGTCGGGAGGCGCAGACGGCACGAGGCCAGGGGAGTGGCTGGTGATGGTCTGTGGTTCTTTAAGTGGCTGCTTTGGAAAAAAGCTTTCCTTTTGCCTGCCCATCAAAGTGGGATTTTTGTTTTCAAATCCAATGAAACATGTCTGTCCTGGATTATTATTTCCATCTCACTTTATAAAGAAAAGTTGCATTGTTTTTTCCTAACAGTGGTTGTTTTTCACATCTTACTGAAATCCACTGAGGACTAAGTCCCTGTGCAGATATGTACTGGGAGCCTGGTGAATGGCTGGGGAATGAATGAAGGAGCAGGAAGCCCCCCAGCCCTGCCCCAGAGCTGCCTGCCACTGCCCGCCTCGATGCCAGCTCTGCTGGTTCTCGCGGGTCCAGTGGAAAGAATTAGACACAGGCCTCTTTAGTTATGGCCTGAAACAATAAAAAGCAGTCTCTGGTTGGGTACGCGTTGTGGGCTGTGTGTGCCCGGCTTTTCTCTCTGGAACCTGCCCAGGGGCTTCAATGAACAGAAAGAAGCAAAGAGGCCCTACACAGGAGGTTACAATGCAGACGTTTTATTTTATGTCTTGGCCACAAGTGAATGTTTGCACATGGGTGTGTTGTCTACATCCTCAGTCCAAGGATTGTCCTTTTTGTGGATCTGGGCTCAGCTTTCCCACCAAGGCCAGAGGCCGAGTCTTCACAGTCACCGTCAAATGATCCAAGTCAAAAGCCACGAACAAGTTCACTGTCTAATCGATTCAAATGCCTGTGGTGAGTAAAGAAAGCGGACCAGGTGGTGCTGGCGGGCAGGCAGAGCTGATAGTAGGCGTGACACCTGAGCTGAACTCTGTCCCCATCACTTTTTGCACATGAGCATGCGTGTGCGCGACGGTTCAGCCGCAGTGCTGCTGGTTTCTGCGGCAGGCTCCCTGGTTGGCGGGCTCTTCACTGCCTCGTGGCTTCAGTGGCACAGCTTCCTTGTCTGACTCCACCATTGTGTCCCTGTATGTGTCCCTCTGTATGTGACCCTCCGCCCCCACTTGGCCCAGGCAGGAGTTCGTACCCCACCTGACAGTCCAGCTCTTGACCCACTCAGCTCAGTAGGGACATTGCCAGCATAGTATGGAAACAGTTGTGCCAAAATTTAATTTTAGTACTTCGATTAAGGTTTGCCATCACCTATGAAGTTCATTCCTCTGGAGATCACGGCGTTGATCAGCACTGTCTTTGCTAATTCCCTTGGTTAACATGTATAAATACCATACAGCTCTCTGGGAATTCATTTGCCCTCATGTTTCGCATTTGTTTGGACTGCAGTCAGTGATGAGGCCTGTGAAGAGGCCAGTGCTGCGACTCCGTCCCCCAGTGGGTACGTCTCATAAGTGAGGTTTTCCTAAGCTGTCCATTTTGTTTCTGTTTTCAGTGGACATGGTACACGCGCAATATTGTTTAATATATCCAGACTTCTCATTCTCCCTTTTTCTAAAAAAAGATTTTATTTAGTTATTTTTAGAAAAAGAGGAAGGGGAGACGAAAGAGAAAAATAGAAACATCAATGTGAGGTTGTCTCTCACGTGTCCCCAGCTGGGGACCTGGCCTGCAACATGGGCATGTGCCTTGACTGGGAATTGAACCCTCCACCCTTTAGTTCACAGGCCAGCACTCAATCCACTGAGTCACACCAGCCAGGGCTCATTCTCCCTTTTAAAAAACATGAACAGAATGTTGAATTGTGACAACCTTTTTTTGCTATTGAATCTTCAAGTTTACTTGATTCTGTTTTCTCTATTCCCAGAGTTAGGGCTTTTTGTAATGTTTGTTTTTGTTTTGTTTTTAATAATTATATTTCTGTTTTGTTTTTATTGTGCTGTTTACGACAGAATCAAAACTAGGATTTCATCTCCCACTTTGGGAATGGTTAGAAAATCAGAAACTCAGCTATGCCCTGTTTGGGAAGTGAATAAAGATAGAGTACAGTGGTATCTTCTTTCAGTGAAGCTGTTTTTTTTTTAAAGATTTTATTTATTTAGTTTTAGAGAGGGGAAGAGAAGGAGAAAGAGGGAGAGAAACATCAGTGTGTGGTTGCCTCTTGTGCGCCTCCTACTGGGCACCTGGCCCACAACCCAGGCCTGTGCCCTGACTGGGAATCAAACTGGCGACCTTTTGCTTCACAGGCTGGTGCTCAGTCCACTGAGCTACACCAGCCAGGACACAGCAAAGCTGATTTTGAAAGTAACAGTGCTGCTGCCAACCGGGGTAACTGCTTGGATCCATGGTTATAAAAAGAACCTTAGGATTTTTGCCCTGGGTATAGCGGAGTCTCACCGCAGTGGCTCATGTTCTCACATTTCCCTGGGCCCACCAGCAAAGTCCTTTTTGCCAGTGTGAGCACACTTACTAGTCCTAGTATTTCACACACGTGTCGTTTGTGTGCTGTGCAGAGTTGTCTCTACAAAAGCCGCGTCAGGTATTTCTTGGGAGTGGACTTCCAATTGTGACCATATATATTAATTGTTTCTCTGCACACGGGTCTTTGAGTTCAGTTCATCCTGGATAACAGTAAGAGCATCAAAACTGTGCCAAGTGTCACTCATCCAGGGCTGAACCGGAAGCAGTGCCTGTTGGTGCTCTGCGTGCATGGAGCGCCCTCTGCAGGCCAGGCCCCGAGCAGCCTGTGGTGACTGACGCTGACAGCGCCCAACTCTGCTGCGGTCACAGCCAGGCCCGCCCGAGGAAGCCTAGGCCTTTTCTCCCCCAGTACAGACGCAGCTGGGCCGTCCAGAGGGGCCTGCGGCTTCTCCTCTGAGAAGCCCTGAAGGTCGGCGGGTGTGGAGCAGAGGCTCGTGCGGGTTGTAGGGTGCTGCAGGCTGCCGTGTGCGACTGGCCGGGACAGGGCAGGGCGGGCGCAGAAGCAGCCCAACGGCGGGGCCAAGCAGCTGGCGTGGCAGTCTAGGAGGCCATGCCGCCAAGGACTGGGGGAGTCTGCCTGCTGTCTGGGGGGCTGACAGGATTGGGTGTGGGCTGGGCAAAAGGGAGGATTCAAGAAGTCAGCCAGGGTGTTTGGCCTGAGCAGCTGTGAGAATGGGGTTTTTATTTCCTGAAGAAAAGGCAACGAGGAAAGGAGCACCGATTGGTGGGTGGGTGGGCGAGTGTGTGTGAATGAGATTTAAACACGAGAGGCTAAGAAAGAGCCAAGTGGAGATTTTGAAAAGGCAGTTGGATGGATACACATGTCTGGGGTTGATGGGGCGGGGTCGTTTGCGGGAGGTTAACGAAGAGGTCGTTTGCTGGTGTATCTGTCCTACTCAGAATGCGCACACTCATGGGTCTCTGGGGCCAAGTAGGAAGCAAAATGAGTAAGACGATAGGGAGAGGTGAGGCCTGTGGTCAACTGCAAAGCACAAGCTCATTTCGATCTGGAGACAAGTGACATACATGCCCTCGCTGCCTGGTGGGTCTCTCGTGAAGCAGATATTCAGACCCAGGCCTGTGGGACCCCAGATCCAGACACACCCCACTTGGCCATTTCCTCTGAGAGGTAGGGTCCCTCGAGTGAGAGTGCCAGGATGGCAGGGGCCTTGTCTCCTGTGTCCTGCCTCACAGACGGGCGTGCTCTTGATTGCTTGACCGAGTGACTAAGCCCACGAATGATGGTGCGTTTGGGAGGCTGCTCGCTGAACTTGCCGCTCCCCGTGCGGGCCTCCCCGTGTGCAGACTAGGAGCGCTGTCGCTCGGTGTTTAGAGGGCTTTCCTGGTGTGCGGGGCAGGGCGGCATCTGTTTGCCGCTGGGTGGTCAGTGGGCATTGTCCTTTTTATAGTTAGAAAGGGCGGTTCTCGAGTTAAGTGGGAGAAGGTTAGCAATTTTTCCTTCTGCAGCATGTCCTCACTAAAACGTGGGTATAGTTTATTTTACATGTTAAGATACAAATTAACAATCTGGATTGCCTGCCACAAGATGGTGGAGTCCGAAGGCCGCGTCTGATGGCCGTTGTTGCTTCTCACTTCGCTTCATGATAACCCAAGGGTTCAGTGATTAAAAACGTGTATGAATAAGTAAACATACACACACGTGGGGTGTTGCAGAAGACGAGGAAAGCAGACAGGCTTGGCGGGTGGGGCTTGCTTTCATGCCCAAAGTGAAGAAGTTCATTGTTTCTTTGCCATTTATATATGGGAGCAAATATATATACTTTTAAGTTGTATTAGTGTCCGGGACAACTGAGTTTTACAGTTGTGTGGCGGTGATGTCCAAGACAGAAAGACTCCCTAGTGCCTGGGCCGCATGCCGGTTCTGCCGCGCAGCCTATGAAATGGCCAGCTGCCTAGTCCCGGGGAAGAGCAGGAAGCGGTCCCTGAGGCTTGGTGTTCTGCCCTGGCACTGGCTTCGGGAACTCAGTGACACAGGCTGGTGCACAGAACAGCACGCAACAGCGAGTGTGTCAGCTGACACGGGTGTTGGGTTCACCGTCTGGAGGAAGTGGAATAAAACGGCCATCCTCACCCCACCTGGAACGTCATGGTAAGCAGTCTTTCTGACGGAATTCTGTAGCTGAGCGGTGTTTGTGACTAATAGCTGCCTTGGTTTTAAGAATGTTTTAGAAAGAACAACAATTCTCTTTCGGCCCCTTCCCCTGTCTCCCCTGGTCCTGTCCCCCTAGGAAGAACTATGATTTGGTGTGGATAGAATGTGACTGTCATCGTTTACGATTAACCCTTTTCATTTCGGTCTGTTTCTTGCTGCTCAAACTGAGCTCCGGGCGAGCTACTTGTGTAGGACATCTGTAATGTTTGTGCTGAGTCATTTTGAGTGAAGTGAGTGGGGCGAAGTTCTATTTTTAGCCCCTCCAGGTCCCAGAGGGGGAAGGCCGAGCAGAGTCCTGGGCACCTGTTGCAGCGGTGCCCACCCAGAGAGACTCAGTCCCCCGTAAATGCTTTAAGGCCCCTGGATAAGTACGCGGTTGCTCAAAATTACATTCACTTTTTTCGGTACATCGTAAAAGATTTCTTGCCTCTTGTGAGAAATAGGGAATTTTTAAAGTTTAAACGTCTGCATAAGTAAAAGCTTGTTTGTTTGTGCCTGTTTCCAACATTCATTTTTCTTTAAAGGTGGGCCCTTACTTCTGCCCTCCCAGTTTCAGGGCTTCCCCCGCCCTCTCCCTAGGCCGGACCCTGTTTCTGCCTGGAGGCCAGCCGCCCTGCCTGGCCCCGCCCGCCTGCTCCCCTCTCAGGGGAACCAGGCTGGCCTCGCGCCCTGCCTGCCGCCTTGCTCACGAGTGCTCGCTTCAGGAAGGAAAACCACTTTGTTCTCCCCAGGCTTGGGCTCCTGGACAACCCAGAGGAACTTCTTGTGGTTTTCGTTTTGTTGGGTTTTGTGCCAGTCCTTGCTGGCATGGGTGGTGACTTTCAGTCATTAGTCACATGGTGGGCACCTGGGACTCAGGCTGACCCATCGGCAAGGTGCTGTGCCCTGGGAGGACAGAAGCCGTTTTTTTGGTAAGTGCCATCAAATGTACTTAATTAAAATAGTTAAGTGTGCATATTCAATTGGATCTACATGTGTGTGATTTTCAAACTTGTTTTCATTTAAATATCGGTAATGGATTTCTTTTGGAACATGAAGAATTGGTTTATTCATAAAACCTTCATATGAAAGCGACAGTACACACGCACCAGATGCTGTTGGTGCCTGGCAGTGAGCCCCTGTGTGTCTCTGTTCTCCCGCAGAGCTCCGGGATCGAGACCCTGGTGGAGGAGCTTTGCTCCCGGCTGAAGGACCTGCAGAGCAAGCAAGGTGAGGGCGTCCTCTGGGAGGGGGTGCACACCCAGGGCCTGCTCCCCCGAGTGAGCGCTGGGGGCTGATCTTAGGACTGAGCGAAACGGCAGCAGCTACAAGCGTCGAGTCTTTGTGGTCAGTGGGCATCTCCAGGCCAGTGAGGTCAGCCCTCCGCAGTCTCCTCTTGTGGAGGGGCCGGATTGCTCTGTCCGCCTTCCAGTGGAAGACCTTTCCCCTCCTCGTGCCCCTGTCCATGCCCACCTGTGACCCCCTTAACCTGAGGCCTCCAGAGATGCTGGTCTCAGGTTCAGAAGGCGCTGCCACCTTGGCTGTCGGACTTTCGGGGGGCAGGCAAGCTTGACACCCTCGTGAAGTCATTTTGATTCGTGGATCCTTCTCGCTGCTTCTCCACTTTTCTCCAAGCCCTTAGAACAGGAGCCATGTGCTAAGATTAAGGCTGTTTATTTTCCTGGTCCTCTTCAAGCTCATTTTGCTGCCCTCCAGGCCCGGAGCCTTCCTGGTCAGGGTGTGGCATGTTTGTTTGTTTTCAGCCCCAGTCAGTGTCAGGACCTAAGGGTACAGACAGCCCTTCGAGTCTGTTTTAGTTGAAACGTGGCCCTTGGTCACCTGGATGTTAAGTGACTGTATGACTTGTGATTCAGAATTTTCTTCGTGTATTAGGACAGTATTTGTCAGGGTGAGTCAGTATAAAAACCCATGAGTGCAAAATTTTGTGGGAAAATATTTGTGGAATCTAAACAGATTTTCACTCCCTCTGTGCAGTTAGTAAGTGCATCTTGGGGACATGTCCCCAGGGCACTGGGTCGGGTGAGGGGGACGTACCCCACCTCTCACCCGGCACTCAAGGGGTGCAGCTGGAGGGGCCCCCCCCACCCCCGGTACATAGAAGAAATAGTCTCATTAAAAAGACACTGCTGTAGAGTTCTTTTTAAGCCACGAAAGCTTGTAAAATTTCTATTGAAGTCACTTGAGAAACTTTTGAAAACATGACAGATCTTTCTGAATTTTTGTTTTATAACAGAAGAGAAGATTCACAAAAAGTTAGAGGGGTCTCCCTCTCCAGAGGCAGAATTGTCCCCTACAGCAAAGGATCAAGTGGAAATGTATGTAAGATCGTATTCAGTCACGAAAATGTGCATTTGTTAAAACTAGACTAATAATTGCTGTGTGATTTACGGTTTTTGTTCATTGTACATAGTTTCGTGTGTTATACTTCAGGAAACATTTATTGAGTGCTCACTTACATACTAACTTACAGCATTCAGAGGTGAGGGGATGGTTCTGCCCTTGGCGTGCACATTGAATCAGTATTTGTGCAGCTGCCGTGGGAAACACACAAGGCCGTTTCTTGCAGACGTGTCCCCGGGGGAACAGGGCCCGCCAGCGACCTGGTCAAACTTGCTCACTGAGGTGCTTTTAGCTCTTTTCTTTGTGAGCGGTCGGGGTCACAGTCAGCCGTGTTGTAAGCAGACTTCTTCATTATACATTACATTTGACTCTGCTGAGCCTCTAAAACTTGAGGGGAAAATAGCGTTTGGTTGGTTTATGTAAAAAAACCACAGTGGCCATGAGCCGAGGGCCGCAGAGCCCGTGGAACGGGGCTGCTTCACACTGAGATGGGCTGCGAGAGAAGGTCCCACTGGGTGACGAAGACCGAGTATGAAAAAGGGTGTAAACTGCCTCACTGATGTCTTTTCGTATCAATTACATGTTGAAATGATGTTATTGTGGTTATAGATAGTTAAGTAGAACGTTTTATTGAAATTAACTTCACCTGTTTCTTTTACACTTTTAAGGTGATTCCTAGCACATTGAAGTTACACAGGAGGCACACAGTGTGTTTGTGTTAGACAGTCCTGGCACACACTGAGAAGGAGTCTTGGCAAGCATGGCCTTTTATCACTTCACATGTGACCTTGACTGTGGCATTCAGAGCAGCCATCCCCTTGTAGCCAGCCTGACTCTAGATTCTTCCTTTGGCAATCTGTCTTGCTGTGAAATCTTGAGTGGCTGCCAGTTTCCCAGCAGATGGGAAACTTGTGTTCCTGATTTGCAAGCCCTCTGAAGCCAGTCCCCGACTGGGCTGACCTGGCTTCAGTTCTGGGAGCACGTCTCCGTGGCCTCGCAAGTCCCTGCGCCTCCTGGCCAGCGCACACGTAGCCGCTCCGCGGCCGACCTCCGCAGCGCGCACTCATTCTGGCCTCCCTAGCACCCTCTTGTCTGAACATGTGCCTGCCGTGGTCTCTGCCAGTTTTCTGAGGGCTTAATGCCTCCTGAGAAAAGTAGCAATGACGACAGGACTTACTGAAGAGGGTGCTGTTTACGACTCAGTTCACCTGCTAATTCCTCTACTCCTCACAGCTCTGAGGTAGACACTGTCGACGCCCCCACTGTGTAGGTCAGGAAGGCAGCTGAGGCACAGAGGGTTTAAGTCACGTGCCCGAGGTCACCCAGCTAGAAAGGGACAGTCTGGATTCAAATTCAGGAAGTGTGGCTTCAGAGCGTATGTTTCCACTGCTTTGCTGTACAGCTCACCCCCACCTGCTTCCTGTGCTCACAAGCTTGTGAGGTACGTCACGGGGGCGCTGTCGTGCAGCTGAGCGGTGTGGACTGAGACAGTAAAAAATGAGCTTGAAGTCATGAGCGTAGTGAGCGACAGAGCTGGAAGTGAATTTCAGATGTCCCCTATCAAAGGCTGCATCTTTCCCACTACACTGGAGTTTTCATTTATGGCTTCTTAATTAAAATTCAGGCTTTGAAGGTAAAAACTGTCATTGTACATATTTTCTTAATATTGTAATCTTATCTAAGTGCTTGGTACATCGTCTTAAACATAAAGGACATTTTACTGTAGTGCTGGTCATTTAAAACTTAACGATGCATTGACTGTGAACGTGAGATATCCCCTCTCTTGCACCAGTGATACAGTTTTACTATGTCAGACACACCTGAGGGCCCACTGCTGACCTCTTTGTGCTCCATTTCAGGTACTATGAGGCCTTTCCACCGCTCTCAGAGAAACCGGTCTGCCTGCAGGAGATCATGACCGTGTGGAACAAGTCGAAGGTCTGTTCTTACTCTAGCTCCTCGTCGTCGTCCACAGCCCCACCAGCCAGCACAGACACGCCGTCACCCAAGGGCTGCAACAGCGACGGGGAGGCCCAGAAGGAGAGGAGTGACGAGGTACCCGCCACTGTGCACGAGAAGGCCCTGAGCAGGAGCAGACACGAGAAGGAGAGCAAGTTCAGTGCCGGCGCAGCGGAAGAAAAGCCAACCTTGTACAGAAAGCAGGCCCGACACAAGCCCGAAGGGAAGGCCCGCCCTCGCTCGTGGTCTTCTGGCTCCAGCGAAGCAGGCTCAAGTTCCAGCGGGAATCCGGGAGAGGGGAAGTCATCCACGAGGTGTGTGAAAGTGAGACACAAGATGCGAGAAATCCGAAGCAGAAAGGGGCGGAACGGGCACAGCCGGTTTTCACTGAAGCACGGCGAGGCCGAAAGGAACACGCACGCGGGTGGCAGTGGCAGCAGCAGCAGCGGCGGCAGCTCCGGCAGACAGCTGTGCAGACGGGCCAAAAGACCACTGAAGGAGGTGGGCAGGAGAGACATGGACGGCGCTGAGGGGAGGGGCCTGTACCCGGACAGCAGAGACGACAAGGAGTATAAAGAGGAACCGCTGTGGTACACCGAGCCGATCGCAGAGTATTTTGTTCCTTTGAGCAGGAAGAGCAAACTAGAGACCACGTACCGAAACAGACAGGATGCACGCGGCCCGACTGCGGAGGTGGTGGAAGAGCTGTCTGACTCAGTGCACGGTCTTTGTATCAGCAACAGCGACATCCATAGAACGTACCTGGCGGCAGGCACTTTCATTGATGGTCACTTTGTGGAGATGCCTGCGGTCGTCGGCGAGGAGCTGGACCTCAGTGGGACCTCGTTCTGTTCTCTCCCCGAGGACAGCAAGTACTTGGATGACATTCATCCATCAGAATTAACCCACTTCTATGAAGTGGGTATTGATCAATCCATGTTGGATCCTGGTGCCTCAGAAACAATGCAAGGAGAAAGTCGGATTTTGAATATGATTCGACAGAAAAGCAAAGAGAACACAGATTTTGAGGCAGAATGTTGCATAGTGTTAGATGGCATGGAGTTGCAAGGGGAACGTGCAATATGGACAGATCCGACCAGCCCCGCGGGGGCCGAGGGCCTGCTCCTGCAAGACCTCGGCGACCTGGCCCGCTTCTGGGAGTGCTGCTCGTCCAGCTCCAGCGACGCCGACGCTGATGGGGAGAGCTTCGGGGGGGAGTCTCCGGTCCCACTGTCCCCCGTCCTAGACAGCGCGGCCCTCAGTCCGCGTGTGCTCGCCGGCAGTCAGGAGCTCTTTTCAGATATTAATGAAGGGTCTGGCATAAACTCTTGTTTCTCAGTGTTTGAAGTGCAATGCAGTAATTCTGTTTTACCGTTTTCTTTTGAAACACTCAACTTGGGAAGTGAAAATACAGATTCTAGTGCGAATATGCTTGGGAAAACACAGTCCAGGTTGCTAATATGGACCAGAAATAGTGCCTTTGAGGAGAACGAACACTGTTCTAATCTGTCAACAAGAACCTGCAGTCCGTGGTCCCATTCGGAAGAAACACGGTCAGACAACGAGACGCTGAGTGTTCAGTTTGAAGAATCCACGCAGTTTAATGCAGAAGATATGAATTACGTTGTTCCTAGAGTCTCGTCAAATTATGTAGATGAAGAACTTCTAGATTTTTTGGAAGATGAAACTTGCCAGCAAAACAGTAGAACTTTAGGAGAAATCCCTACGTTAGTTTTCAAAAAAAAATCTAAACTAGAATCTGTCTGTGGTATTCAGCTAGAACAAAAAACAGAAAGCAAAACCTTCGAAACCACACAAGTGTGCGGGGAAGGCGGTCCACGTGGAGGGGGCTACAGCTCAGGGCTTATCAAAGACATTTGGACAAAGATGGCAGATGGAACTTCGGTGGCTATGGTAGAAGTGGAGAGAGTCGCCGACGAGCTGTTTTCCACAGATGTAACTAACTACCGCTGCTGCTTGGACGCGGAGGCTCCAGTGGAGCCCCTGGAGGGGCCCAGCAAGGCTGTGCAGAGGTCCGAGTATCACCTGTGGGAGGGGCAGAGCGAGGACCCGGAGGAGAGGGCCTTCGCGTCCAGCGAGCTCTCCAAGGTGGACGGCGGTGACTACACCACGCCCTCTAAACCATGGGACGCTGCCCAGGAGAAGGAGAGCGCATTCATTCTGGGAGGGGTTTACGGAGAACTGAAAACCTTCAGCAGCGACGGGGAGTGGGCCGTCGTGCCTCCCAGCCACGCGAGGGGAAGCTTGCTGCAGTGCGCAGCCGCCGACGTCGTGACGATAGCGGGCACGGACGTCTTCATGAGCCCGGGGAGCAGTTTCGCTCCCGGCCACAGGCAGTTGTGGAAACCCTTTGTGGCGTTTGAACAGAACGACCAGCCGAGAAGTGGGGAAAATGGATTAAATAAGGGATTTTCTTTTGTCTTCCATGAAGACTTACTAGGACCTTGTGGTAACTTTCAAGTTGAAGATCCTGGGCTTGAGTATCCACTCTCTTCCTTCGACTTAAACAGTCCATTCTCACAAGTTCTTCACGTGGAATGTTCATTCGAGCCCGAAGGGATTGCATCTTTCAGCCCCAGTTTTAAACCGAAATCCATCCTCTGCTCTGACTCCGACAGTGAAGTTTTTCACCCCAGGATATGTGGCGTCGACAGAACACAGTACAGGGCTATTCGGATCTCTCCTAGGACTCACTTTCGCCCCATTTCTGCATCTGAACTGTCCCCAGGAGAAGGAAGCGAGTCGGAGTTCGAATCTGAGAAAGACGAAGCAAGTATTCCCATTCCTTCTCAGGTTGATGCCTTCGAAGGTCCACAGGCAGATCTCAAACCACTGGAGGAAGATGCAGAGAAAGAAGGCCATTACTATGGGAAATCAGAGCTGGAGTCTGGAAAGTTCCTCCCCAGGCTAAAGAAGTCTGGGATGGAGAAGAGCGCTCAGACGTCACTGGATTCGCAGGAGGAGTCTGCTGGGGTCCCGCCAGGAGCAGGAGGTCAGAGCCCGTGTCGGGAATGTGGCGCCAGCGACTCTCTGGAAATCGGTGTGGAGAGCTCAGAGGCAGATTGTAAAATAATGACACAGTGCGAGGAAGAAATTAATAATTTTTGCAGTTGCAAAGCAGGTTGTCAGTTCCCTGCTTACGAAGACAACCCGGTTTCTTCTGCGCATCTGGAGGAGGTATGTGTTTGCGGGCGCTGGTGTCTGACGAAAGGGTTTGCTCAGACTTTAGTCCGAGAACGGCCACATCGGGCGAGGACAGGTGGGGTCGCATCACTGCAAAATGAGCCGAACTGTCTTAAAATCTGTCACTCTTAGGGTTTACCTAAGGACTTAAAATGGACCTGGTATCACAAATTGGAACTAGACAGTAGACATTTTCTGCAGAGAAAAGACATTTTTACATAAATCACAGGGTATCAGATTCTTCTGTGTTGCCTTGACATGCATGTCTCACGGTTAGAGCAAACCCTCACGTGAAGCACTACACCTTTTAAAGTTGGTGGGGCAGCAGGTGGCTCTTTAATCTTAAAAGGCCTTGGCGCCTCGGGAGTCGCAGCGAGACCCCTGCCTGCCTCTGAGACGTTGAAGTCAGCACGTCTGGTGTGGCTCCCTGAGACGCACTGTGGTCCACGTACAGGTGAACCCACAGTCCCAAGGCAGCCACACGCTGCCCCAGAACGCACACACACGTACCTGGAGTTACACAGAGCACGTCTTCCTGAGCTGTTTGAATGACCCATTCCTTCCGTCTGACAGGCAAGAGGAATAGTTGTGTTAATGGGGGTCATTGGATCCTTTGACTATTCCTAAGAAGTGGTTGGAGGTTAAATTGATTGTGTAAGAAACACCACTTAAAGCTGTAGCCTGTTGAACAGAAGAGCATAGCGATCTGCCCACTTTGAGCCACTGTTTGATAGAGCGTGCCTGGCCTTTTCCAGGCATGGCAGGTCGACAGGACAGTTGGAAGTGCTTACAAGTCATGACACCTGGAGCAGAGGAGTGTGGCCCTTCCTCCCACCTGTCCTTCTGCAGATGCCACTTGCTTTGGCACGTCTGACTCCGGCCCACACCACAAGGCCCCCAGGTCCTACGTTCTTCCCAGACGCAGCCCTCCTTCCCTCTCTTCTCCCCTGCTCCTCTCGTCCCCGCGTCAGACACAGCTTCTCCCTTCTCTCGCTGTTGTGTGCATCCCACGCCTGTTTCCTGCTGTGTTTTCACGAGTCAGGTGTATACTTTGTCTCGGTATGAACTCATGGACCACACCTTCCTCGGCTGTCGGTCCAGGCCTGGGCGTGGACCCCGGTGCACAGGACAGCAGATGAGAGCACTGCTCTTGTTAGTTGCCTGGGGGTCCTTAGAGGGATGAAACTGAACCTCATTGAAACACTGAACTCTTAACTTGCTGAGAACAAAAAACTATTGCTAGCCTTTATGTGTGTGGTTATTGCCCACTTTCCACCCTTAAATATCCCTTTATGTACTTCGTATCTCCCCTGGCTCCAGACCAAGAAAAAGCGGGAAGAAGCACGGTTCTGTGTCGTGCCGCTACCGTGGTCCTTCGCTTTCTAGTCTGCGATGCACTTCCGCGCTGTCAGAGTTCTGGGCGCCTGCGAGGGCTCAGCTGCCAGGAGCGCCCTCAGAGGGAGGGCGCAGTGGGTGCTGCCCCCTCATCTCAGCAGAAGAGCCGCAGCTGGGTCAGTGCTCGCTTGGTGGATCCATGAGGTGTGGAGAGAGTGGCCTGAAGAGACAGTGCAGTGTCAGGCTGGGACCAGAACCCGTGCCTTTCTGCTCTCACACTGCCCGGTCAGCCTTGGGCGCTCCTGCAGGCTCCTCCCACTTTCCTGAGTGAGGGTGGTCTGGGAGCCCCGTCGTAAAGGGGGCCGTGCCCACCTGTGTCAGTGCAAGTGAGTAAACACGCAGGCTTTCCAAGGAACTGGGACCCAGGAGCAGGAATTAGGATTCTTTTCAAAACTCCCATTTTGGCAAATGTTCATCAAATACCCGTTCCACGGCCATTGCTGAATTAGGGGCCCTGGGTGAGCCGGGCGCTGCCCTTGCTCTCGAGCAGTCCAGTCCAGTCCAAAGACCAGCTGTCACTGCTGAGACCCGTTCATCGTCTGGTGGCAGTTCAGGCCTTCCAGCAGGGCACAGCCACGGTGCGAGCCCCTGCCCAACAGTGGCCGTGGGTGCAAGCGCTGACTCTGCTCCGAGGGCCTTTCCTGCAGCTGTGAGCAGGCGCATTTCCCGTCTGTTTCCTCCCGTTTCTTTCCACCCAAACGGCACTTCATTATAATCACCCTCTATTACCGTCCACACACTGCTCCACTGTATGGATGTACCATGATTTACCCAGCTGGCCCCTTATCTCCTAGGTAATTTTAGGCAATATGGTAGGTGACATGGTACAGGGTGCTGTGGGGACCCCGGGAAGACCCCTCCAAGCCTGTGAGAGTCAGGGAGGGCCTTTGGAACTTGCCAGGGGACGTGGGGGCAGAAGGAGGCAGGGCCCAGGGGCAGGAGGACAGTATAAGTGAAGGCTGACAGGCCTGAAACCCCTGCCGTGTGCACTGCTCGCAGCGACAGGGTTCTGTCACTTACCTGAATGCCGGCTCAGGGCCCCTCACCTTGAAGCACAGACAAGAAGCAGAGGTGTGGCCCCGCCTGCAGGGACTCCCGATTCGGGGGAGGGAGGCCATGGAGCCTGGCAGACAGTGCCCCAGGCGGTCCGAGGGCTCTGAGGGGTGGAGGGAGCGGGCCGTCTGGGGTCATGGCACGCAGCCCCTCTGTGTCGGGCCCCGGGCCACTGCTGCATCATCCTCGTCCTGCTGGGTGCCCCAGGGACCTTCTGCAGCGGGTCCCTCGTGGCCACTGAGGACCTCCGGTCCAGAGGGTGGCACACCTGCTCCAGCCCCCAGTCTGAGGGGCAGAGCCGGAGTTCCTTGCACTGGTTTGCATTTCCTGTCCATGAAGGGAAGCTGCCCACAGCTGGTGTCCTGTCTCCTGTGGGGCTTGGTGGCTCTCTCTTTGTCTGCACTGATGCCCCCTTCCTTTCCTTCCAAAGAGCAAGGCTTACTGGAATCTTTTCCTTTTGTGCCCCGAAGAGCTGAGCACTGGCTGTGGGGAAGTCCATTGCAGAGCCCGGGCTACAGAGGACCCCCACCTGCCCTCTCTTCACCAGAGCGAGGCCCACGGAACTCGAACGTAGGCAGGGCCTTTTTACCCAAGTTTTCTGTCTTCTAAAGAATTGCTGAGAATTGTATCCGTTACTGAAAACACTTCCAGCCAGGCTTCCTCGGTTAAGTTTATGACTTCTCCCCCCCCCCCCCCCCCCACTGTTCCATCCATTCATCAGACGTTTGTTTGTTAAAAGTCTACTGTGTTTGGGTGCTGTTCTAGAACAGAGGTCGCTGGGGCTGTGTCCTTCGAGGACACGTGCTGGCAGACAGATGGTGCAGCGCGGGGTGAGGGCTGTGGTGGGTCAAGCCTGCGGGGGGGGGGAGCGGGCCCAAGGCCGCTGGGTGTCTGGGCAGGCTTCCTGAGCGGGCTCCTGGCGCAGGCACAGCCCCGGGAGTGGCCTGCAGGTGAGAGAGCGGCCAGAGGCCACTGGCCGGGGCCCTCAAGTAGAGGTGTGTTTGGCTCGTCCACGGTTGTGTTCTGTCCAGTGTTCCTTTTCCTTCCTTCCTTCATTCTTGTCATTCTCAACCAAACCAGAAGTTGGATGACTATATTGAATAGACACTTAAGCAAAGCATGGCCTTCTTTACTGTGCAACCTAAAAGCTAGAAATGGCTGACTGGGGAGATGTCACGCAGTAACGCAGATCCACATGACAAGGTGGTAGAGTCGGTGCTGCGGTGAACTCGGCGGTGTCAGGTGGTCACTGGACCCACTGTGGTGGTCACTTCCTTCAGTTTATAAGTGTTGAACTATGTTGTATATCTGAGACTAATTTAATGTTGCACTTTAACAAAAAATCAGGAGACAAAGCCTAAAGAAATAATGCCTGTGCAGTGGGTATGTGTTCAGTGTAGCACAGAACAAAACAAAGTCCTTGCCAGTGGAGTGGACACTCATGTGGGGGATGCAGGAAAGTTCTCGAAACTGGCACGGTCTGAGCCAGAGCGGGAGAGCAGGGACCCGGGGTGCTTGCCGGTTCGGGAGCTCAAGGCTGGGTAGGGGCTTTCTTCTGGCACCTGGAGGTGCAGAGCTAGGTGAGACAGGGTCCCTGCCCCTCAGGAGCTTACAGTGGGGTTCCCCTCGGACCCAGCCTCCTCTCCGGTAGTACAGACCCAGACCCTCACTGGTGCCTTGACCTTTTCCAACCATGTCCCTGACCTTGTTCCAGCCTTCCTGCTCCCACAGCTGCACGCAAGGGTTCAGAGACGGGCTGTGTCACTGCGCACACAACCCGCCCATCCTGTCCTTCTTACACTGGGACTTGAGTCCTCCAGGTCCTGCACTGCTCTAGTGCCTGGGGATGGTGGGATGGTCACCGGAAGTCCTGTCTGGGGGGCCTGCCATGCTCCTCTTGCTCCACTACGTGACATCACAGAGCAGGTGTGCCTTGGAGAGAAGGTGTGACCTTTCTGGAAAGGTCTTACGGGGCTGCGAATTATAGAGCAGGTGCAATTAATCACCTTGAGTTAACTGCCGACCTTGCGTGCTGCTGGCCGCGTCTGCACTCAGCCAAGCCTTGTCAGTTCTGTCAGCCTTGGCTTCTGTCTCTCTGATCGCAGGCTGGATAAAAACACACAACTGCTGCGTCACGAAGTTTCAGACCCGTAAAATACTCTTAAGAGAGTAACAAAGTCCCATCAGAGAATTGGTGATAAAACAGTTCCGGTTTTAAACTTGAGCACTAATGAAATGTCTTCTAGAAGGACAGAGATGTGCGTGGTGCTCCCAGGCCTGTGCACTGAGCACGCGTCTGTCGAGAGCATGAGGGGCTGTGGGCACAGAGACACCAGCACCAGGCCTTGCGTGGGAGAGCCTGCTGTGGGGCCTGGGGGAGGGCGTGGAAGAGAGTGGCTCTGATAGCCAGTGTGCCTGCAGACTCGTGGTGGCCACAGCTGGCCGCAGATCTCCCGGCTGCCGCTCACCAGGGCACTCCTGCATCACTGGCGGCTGCTCTCCGCTGACCAAGGGCACATGGCGCCCAGGCCCCACTGCCCAGGCAGGTGGGTGGGGTCTGGCTGAGACTGGAGAGTGCCATGTGAAGAACGGAGCCTGGATCCAGACTTAGGGCCCCTTCCAGGCCTGGGGGCCACTCTGCCAGGGCCACGGAGAGGCGGCGAGTGTGGGTTTCCCGCCCACACACGCCCTTCCCTCCTCTCCTGTTGGAAGCCGTGTCGGGCTGGAGTCGGACCTACTCCCAGCACTGTTGACGCTCGGGCTTCAGTCTCCGTGGCCTTCTGGTTCTCACAGAAGAACCGGGCTCCATGTAATTCTGTTACAAACGTGTTTGGGCCGACAACTGCCTATGCCACTTCCTTCTCTTCCATTTCTTCTTCCCAGGCTCCCTTGAGCCTAGCCATGTGGCAAGGGGGTCCCCCATTTCCTGTAGAGCACCGCGCATCTCTGCACTCCGCAGTCTGCAGGGGGTGTGTCCTGGCATGTGTTTTTGCCTTGTAAGTTCCGTCGTGTCTTCTAAGATCTTCATTCTGCTTCCAGTGTAAGTGCGTCTTCAGGGAAACTGCCTGTATGTGCTCTGAACACCTCGGCTTTTTAAGCCTCTTTGTCTAAAACAGTAAAAACACTCATCAATTTAAAAGTCCTGGTGCATTGTCCGTAGTTAATGCTTGAGTTTTTCCTTGATCGTGAAGGTTTGTAAACTTTTCTGTGTTTGGTTTAATCTAGTTTCCCATATTGAACACGGATGTACAAGGAATGAATAGAAGTCAAGAAAAACAGACCTGGTGGGAAAAAGCCTTGTACTCTCCTCTTTTTCCTGCATCGGAGTGTGAAGGTAAGGAGGCCTGTGTCAGGTCTTTCATTCGGGTCTCTGGTTCACTAGGGCAGTAAATTCTTTCTTTTAACCCTCACCTGATGACATGCTTATTGATTTCAGAGAGGGGAAGGGAGGGAGAGAGAGGGAGAGAAACGTTGATGTGAGAGAGAAACATCAATCAGCTGCCTCCCGCACGAGCCCCGTGGGAGGACTGAACCTACAGCCTGGGCATATGCCCTGATCGGGAATTGAACCCACAGCCTTTTGGTTTGCAGGGCAGCACTCCAAACAACTGAGCCACACTGGCCACGGCAAGAGCAGTAAAACCCTTCGCTATGAGTATCAACACCTTCCCAGGGTTTCAGTGGGCTAGCACGTGCCAGGCGTTGCAGACAGAGATGAAGGAACGTGCGTCCCTGCTTCTGAACTGCACCACAGCCCCCTGTCGGGCACATGTGGAAATGCACACCTGCAGTGCCGACCGCGACGGGGTCCGTGCCAGCTCCCAGCGGGCCTCCCAGGGGAGGTCGTCAGCCATGGAGGCCCTGGGAAGACCCCACAGGGGAAGCTGGGAAAGGGCGGGGACAGGAAAAGAACAGGCTGCACAGAGGCCAGAGGGTCTGTGGCGAGTCGGGGGCTGGGGACCCAGTTGGGTTGGAGCTGCAGCCAGGACGGTGGCCAGGGAAGGTCCCTGTCAGAAGGCGTGAGAACCCTGCTCACTTAGGTAGAATTCAACACGCAGGAAGGGAAGGCCATTTACACAGCTCAGGTGGGGGGTCAGGGCTGTGCTCTAACACAGTTCTAGCATCAGAGTGGAAGTGGCTAGGAGAACGGAAGGGCGCCCACAGCAGTCTGGGAGTGATAGCTCAGAGACGCTAGTGGGGGAAGAGGTGAAGACAAAAGCTTCAAAGGGCTTTGTAGAGGATGCCAGAGTTTGTTGAATGACTTTCTGTGAGGAGTGAACAGCAAGAGGGAGCTAGGGCAGACTAGGGAGAGAGGGAGATGGGACCAGGAAGGTGTGGTGAAGGTGCTTTTCATCTGTGAGCCTCAAAGGTAGGCACACCCAGAAAGTATAAAGTGTCTCCATCAGAAATGCTGGGAAAAGTGGGGAAGTAAGGAGGCGACCTAACATGGATCAGCACGAGGCCGAGCTCGTCTGGTTGCTGTGGCGTCCTGGGCCTTGGCGCTGGTTTCCCAGTCGCTCCCATCAGCCCTGCGGGCATGTACATCTTTTGCTAGGATGGACGTGCTCGAGTTCTTGTCTCCCCAGGTGATGTGTAACTAACGTGGACGCAGCGTTGTCCCACACTTCCCTGGACGCCTCCCCAACCCTGGGGTTTGGGTGCTGGGCTGGCCTTCTTTTGTAGCCTGGCCTCAGCTGCCTGGGGGGAGGGGGCAGATGGTTTGCTTCCCTCTGTTCTGGGTGCACAAAAAACGCCTTCCCAAGCCCCGCCTGCCTCCTTTGCAAAGGTTTGCTGAGCCCTAAGGGGAGCATAGTGGGTTCTTCATTTTTAGCATCTTTGCTTATTTAACAGCATTTAGTAAAGGCCTGTTGCTTCACCATTTGGCCTTTATTATTGACAGAGTATTCTCAAATTTTTTATGTTACATAGCTCCCTCAAAAGCCTTGTGCAGTGTTACCCCTGGATTTCAGGTGGGGAAGCTAACTCTCAGGTTTAGCAGTGTGACCAGAATCACGCGTTAGCCGGTGAGCTCGGCTCAGGTGCAGCCTGCTGCCTGTGGTCAGGGCGTTGCTGCCTGCAGCTTTTCGTGTCGGGGGAGGCGCCGGAGGCGGGGGAGCACAACCTGCCTTGACTCGAGTCCGGTCTGGGACCCCGTGTGAGTGTTGAGTCACAGGCACAGTTAACAGGCAGGAGAGGCCGGGTGCCCCAGGACAAGCCTGGAGAAGAGTGAGCGGGCAGCAGGCAGCCTCTAGGCGTTGGGAAAGACAGTGCCTGTGAGGCCGGGGAGGACTTTCAGACATGGGGTTCTCCCTGTGTTAGTGTGTCCCTGGCTGTCTTGGCAGCCCTAGTCCAGTTCCCGTCCCCAGGAAGGACCCATTCTTAGCTCTAGGTCCTTGGACTCTAAGCAGTCCCTGGCTAGGTGCAGTAAATGATGGCTGGTACTCAGTGTTTTTTTGCTGTGAGAGGTGTACAGAGGACCTCTTAGTGGATAAGAATGGTAACCAGGCTTTGGAATGACTGAACTCACAGGTGTGAGTTAAATCCTGCAAAGTGGTCTTGTACTGGGGTTTCCCAAGCCCCATTCTCCCCTCCTGGGTCACAGGGGCCTGTAACTTCAGGAGGTTGGCCAGGAAAGCAGGGAGCCCTTCACCCACTCCGCTCGCCTCAGCTCCTGAGCTTTCTGATGCTGTTAATGATTGGTAAGGAGCACACGCTGCTCTGAGTTAGGCTGACCCAGGAGCTCCTGGCAGTAGGAGGAGGCTCAGCAGTCAGGCGAACGGTCTGGCACCGAGCAGAGCGGGAGCCGGCTCGCATGCACTCTGCCACCTGCCGGCCTTGCTGTGCATGCACAGACAGATCCACTCACACTTCCTGTGCGCCTTCCCGTGCCAGGCACTGTTCTAGGCCCTGTGGATGCAGAGGCGAATAGACCGAGTGCCCTCCCGATCAGCTGACCCTGGGGCAGGGGCCTGAGGGAGTGAGGGTGCAAGTCCTGTGGCACCTGGAGCCGTCTGCAGGAGAGGCCCAAGCAGGAGCACTGGCTGGAGCAGGGGTGCATGTACTGAGCCCAGTGGGCCTGGCACGGGGGAACCGTGCGGGGGTGGAACGAGGGCCGGGCTCAGCAGGCCACAAGGAGCCCGGGCCACAGGGCCTGGCGGACTGTGCAGGACGCATCTGTCCTGGGTGGTGCTCTGCAGCGCTGATGCTCTCAGTCCTGCACCCACTGGAAGTGTATGTTACTTTAGTCTTAAAGGGTGAGCCCTGTAGGAAGACAGGAGACAAACCAAGTTGACGTCAAGGCCTGCTACCAGCTGCTGAAGCTTGGGCAGTGGTGGGACCTTTCTGTGCCCCATGACCTGTGTTTGTAAAAACTAGTGCTGAGCCTCCCTTGGAGGCTGGTGTGAGCAGCAACGTGCCCGGAGGAGCCTGGCCTGCAGCTGTCGCTGTGAGTGTCCCAGGAACACAGACGGTGATGAACAGTCACAGCCCACTCTGGTACATAGAGAATTCCTAAATCAGGGGGAGAAAATGAAGGGGTCCCAGGCAGCATGGGTTTGGCTCCTCTTATAGGTATGGTCTAGTCCAGGAATTGTCCTCTGCCCGCCAGCCCCTCACCTAGTATAAGTTCTCACCCAGTGTGGTGGGGCATGGGCAGCTGGGGGCTTGGTCAGGTCAGCCGAGGAAAAGATGGCCGCCCAGAGGGGGCCTCTGCCTCATCAGAGTGCGTGGTGCCCTCAAGCAGTCAGCCTCCAAGCCTGCTTTGGCGCCCTCGTGGAGGATGCTGAGGGTGCCAGCGCTGTGCCAGGGCCACACACACACCATCTTTTAACCTGCATGGAAGTCTTTGAAGGCACATGGCGGTGCTTGGTTACAGGTGAGGGGCTGGGGTGCAGAGAGGTTCGGCCAGTTTGCCCTGTTCCATCCCAGTAGCATGACCAGGAATCAGCCAATGTCTGTCTATCCCGAAGCCTGGTTGCTTTCATGAACCCAGTTAGGCCCTTACAGCACCCGAGATGGTCAGAAAGAAGTGCAGGTGGTGGCGAACATGGCGTGGCCAGCGCAGCCTTGGTGAGAGGCCCTGGGGGGTCTGCCCACCCAACAGGAGGCACAGTAGTCATCGAGCACCAGTCCTGTCCCCTCTTTTTGACAGTGGGCAGCACGCCCTTACATCTATCACCTAGGCAGCGGGTGTTGGGGGCATGAAGAGTCACACTGGTGATGCGGAGACAGGGCCCACCCCCAGGCCTGTCTGGGGTCTCTGCAGTCCTCCCTGCGCCTCTGCTCCCACCTCCTTTCCCGTGGAATAGCGACAAAAGGGCCGCTGGTCTAGATGAAGACTGGGGGTCTCAGCTCTGGTTGTGCCTCTGAACTACCCGTGAGCTTTTCGGGAAATTCTAATATCTGGGCTCTTGCCAGGTCCATTCAGTGAGAATCTCAGATGGGGCCGGGCTTCTGGACTTGCCTTCAAGTCCCCGAGGTGATTGGAAGGTGCAGCTGGGGCTGAGAGCTGTCGGATACGTGGTTGGGTCCTTCCGATGATGTCAGTGCGTAGTGCCCCAGTCATCCCCTTGTGCGGCCGCTTACCCAGGCCAACCACCAGCTTCACTCCCGCCCCCGTACGCAGGGAAAGCGCGCAGCTCCGTGTGTTGCTGAGTGGTGAGGGGCGAACAAGGATGCTGAGCCGTGTTCTCGTGGCCCCTCGTCCTATCTGAGTGCCTTCGTGTTTGTCACCTGAACATCCCTGTGGCATCAGCTGCCTGCCCCGCCTGAGGCACACTCCCCAGAGCTCAGGCCCAGCGGGCTTCCGCCCTGCTCCCAGGGCCTGGGTGCGGGCCCACACACCCTGTGGAGCTGTCCTGGGCTCGGTCCCGGCCGCCGCGATAGAGCAGGCCTCACACTGCAACGAGTCGTCGCCTTGCTGCTGGGCAGGGCCCTGCCTCTTCAGTGTCTCTGTAAGCGAGTCTGTGAGGCACAGTGGAGCGAGCGGTGGCTGTGCGCCTTGTTGGATGACCATGTCACGGTGGGGTGACAGGGTGTGTGGTCGTGTTGGCCCGGTTTCTTAGCCAGCTCAGTCTGCTCAAGAATTTTGAACTTGGCCCAGTGTTTTCCTCATACCCGCTGGCCGGCCACTTGGCGGCTATGTGAGCCCCCGAGGGTTGGTCGGCCCAGCCGCTCCGACTTGGCAGAAGCTGGAACAGGGCCCCTGTTTCATGACTGTGTCTTAATGGACTCTCCCCTTTCCCTTTTTTCCCTCCGTTCAAAATGATTAAGACTGTTATACAAATGCCGAGGGAGAGAATGGGATAGAAGAATGTCCAGATGCTAAAGAAATGCCCAGTAATGAAGAGCGTCTGTTAGATTTTAATAGGGTAAGTGGACTGTGCTGCGCCTTGTCCCTGACTCACGAACGGCCACCGCCCCCTCACCCGACCCAGTCACTCAGGCTGCAACCCGGGAGTCCTTCGAGCTGCCCTGTCCCCTCCCTCCCGCGCTCCCCTCCCAAGTCAGTCACTAAGCTTTGAGGGCGTGACCCCTGGACTCTGTCCTGGACTCTGTCGCCCTCCACTTGGTCTGGGCCGCCTCCCACCTCAGCCACCTGGGCTTCCCGAGTGCCCCTCCCCTCGCTCCCTGTCCTTGGCACCAGCCAACCACTGCCGAGGGGCTTTCTCCGCCTGAGCCTGAGCGTGTCACTGCCCTCATGACCGGTGGGCGGGCCCCCTCTTTCCCTCTCCCACACCAGCCTGGGGGGCCCCATCTGTGCCCTCTGCACGGCACCCTGCAGGGGGCGGCCGCCACAGTGCTTGACCGAGCCACCCCCCAGCCAGCAGCCCTGGCGCCGGCAGGCGGGTGACCAGGAGGACACTTCTTTACTTCTTGGTGTGACTGTCGGTGTGGTCCGGTGCTGTGAGGGTGGTCCCCTGCGCCCTGCCCTGCAGCTGCTCGTCCCGTGTGCACCCTACCCCACCCCTACCGGCCAGAGCCCAGTCTTGGAAACCTCCTGCGCTCACCTCCCCACACGAGCTTTGAGAGTGGCCGGGGCTTCTCCTCACTCTTCCCCACATGGCAGGCAGATGCCACATGGGTCTGACTGTCCCCTCTGGTCCCCCTGCAAGCCTAGGAGGCAGGGACTGGTCTGCCATGTGCTGGAGAAGACACTGAAGCCCCAGGGAAAGTTGGTCCTCAGCCCCCGCTGAGTGCAGATGGAGTGGGCAGGGCTTCCGTTTGGACTCAGGACCCGGCCTCCAGCCAGTGTCCCCTGCCTTCTGAGAAAAGATACAGGCTCCCCTCCGTGCCCCCGAGGGAGGCCCTGTGTGGTTCCGTCCCATGTGCCTCTCTGATCCCATGCCCCTCTACTCTCCCCTCCTTCAGTGTGGCTGTCTTACTGTGCTGCTGCCTCGGGGGTTCTCAGCAGGGACAGAACTGCCATTGGAGCGGGGTGCTGCTGTAACTGGGACGGGTTTGGGGGTGGGGTGGGGCGGGGCGGGGTGGGAGGTGCTTTGCTGGTTGCCGTGACTGGGCGTGTTCCTAGTTACCATGACAGGTGGGGTGTGCTGCTAGTCACTGCCACTGGGGGCACTGCTGAGCACTCTCGGGGTTTGGTGGGGGGGCGTTACTGGTTACTCTGCGGGGAGGGTGGTGTTAATTTACCCTGATGCGGTGGGGGGCGTGCTAGATACTCTGGCCAGAGAGGGGCTATCACTTGCATTGGGGGTACTGGGACAGGGACACTGACCATGTGGTGCGTGGGAGACAGTCCCACACAATAGAGTCTTCTCTTAAAAGTGCCAGCCACTGACAGGGCCCCATTCAGGAGCGCAGTTGCAAGTCCCGGGCAGGCTCCGGCTGTGCCTCGTCCTCTGTCTGCTCGCTCCTCAGCCTCAGGTGAGGACGCCTGTCCTCGAAGAACTGCCCTCCTAGTCTCCTGCCGCAGTGCCCCACACTCAGGCTGTGTGCGAGTTTGCTGTCTGGTCTGTCTGGTTAGGCAGTGCCCCGCCCCCCCTGCAGTGGGAGCCCTGGGAGGGCACAGCCCTGCGTGGCATCCGTGTGCACAGTCCGTGCCTGCCCGTGTCGGGGAGGGGGAGGCTGGTTTGCTCTGAGACTGTGTGACAGCGAAACTCTCCATGGTTTCAACTCTCCACGGGAAAACATCTGTGGTTGGTACGTAGTTACGTAGCCCTTTCCAAAAAGTCTGGCTTTTGATGTGTTGAAACTTGTTCTTTCATCTTAGGTGTCTTCTGTTTATGAAGCGAGGTGTACAGGAGAGAACGAAGCCGGAGCAGAGGCACAGGGCCCGGGCAGGAAGCTGCACTCCAGCGCCAGCTCCGGCTCCGGGGCCGCAGGCTCGGGCTCTGACGGCGCGGGCGAGTGGGCGGGCCCCAGCGAAGAGGAGCTCTTTTCTCGAACTCACCTCTGACCCTGCTGAGTAGGACGCAGTGTTTTTTGAAATGGAATGTGATGGAGAATCACCCTTTCATGAGGCCTGTTAATCTGAAACAACAACTTAGGTTTCTTCTCAGTTAACTGAGTCAGATCAGTAATTACCTTTCTCTTCTTGCTTATTTTAGAGTTGAGAACAGCTAGCCTGTTGAAGATTTTTTTTTCCAAGCTGTTAAATCCTTGGCTCTTTGAACTAGACTAGACTGTGTTGTCAAATCAAGGGTGGGCGCGCATGTGCCCGTCTCAGAAGTGCCGCTGCTCCTTGCCCCATCCCACCTGCGGCCACACCCTGTGGACTGCGGGCAGGCTGCGGCCACACCTTAGCATCATGGTGCCCGCCCACACCCCTCCCACTCTCCAGAGACTTGAGCTTTGGAACACATAGGCTTCATTCTTTAAGAACCGGGACAGAAACATGCCCCCCTGCAGCGGATCAGCCCCTTTCTGAAGGCAAGAGGGAGGCACGGGTGACTCTGCTGCAGCCCTTATTCGCTAAGATCTCATGCACATTGAAGTAGCGACCATGGGGGCTTTTAGAGACTTAACCAAGTGCTGTGTCTCCCCTCCCAGGGTCTCCCCCGAGTATCTTGGAAGGTACTAGGGTTTGCGACTTTACTGCTGCCTGGAGGAGCCCAGGGCTTGGGGCGTGGGCTGGTTCACGAGGCGCAGCGAGGTAAGAGGGCTGCCTCTGCCTGCTCGGGGACGCCGCTGCAGGTGCTCCGAGACCCCCGCCGGGGCTCTCGGTGGCGCTCTCACCATGCTTGAGGGTCTTCATTGCAAATTATGATTTCCTCGGAGCCTACATCGGACTGAAACCTCTAGGACTCAAAACCCTAAATGTATGACACGCAACAAAGGCCACCCCATCACCCCAAAGAAACCCTGGCAGCTGCAGCTGCGCCTCCCGTGGCCACGACTGAGTGTAGTTAGATCTCCTTCATGTTTTCGAGAATGTTCTGGCCAAGTTTTGTGTGTTGCGGGCTGGGGTTGGGTAGAGTATCCATTTCTCCCACACCTGAGTGATTGCCCCCTGGCACTCGAGATCCTGCCTGCACGGGAGCCTGGGGTCAGTGCAAGTCCTGTCGCTCCCGTGGCCACCACCCCGAACCTCTCACTGCTGTGTCTCAGGCAGAAGTCTGGAGGAGTGATGTTTGCAAAACCTGACCATTTTGAATTGCTTTTCTTTTTTAACCAACTCATTAAAAAAAAACAAACCCTAATGTGTGAAATCAGTTTCGCATGTCTATAACATGAGGAATGGCAGAAAAGTCCAATGTGGATGAGGTGGCTGTGCCACTAACTCGGCAGGCAGCCCACACGTGGCAGTCTGGGCGGCGGGCTGCCTGAGACACGCATGCCTTGTGAGCTTCGGGTTTCGTTGCCTTTTCCTTAGTCGATGACACAGAAATGCCCTCCTAAGGCCGTGGAGTCGCCCCGGTTCTGTGTATCCTCCCTGAGAAGCGACCGTGCCTGGCGCCAGGGCTTGCTCCCACGCAGCACGTCCTCTGACACTTTACAGTGGGTTTGTGTGTGCTCGTGTGTGTGCGCGTGAAAGGTTTTTTGTTGCTGTTATTTATTTAAAGATTTTATAAGGTTTTATGTATTTTCTTTCTTCCAGAGCTTCCTAAAAAATTCATTAGCATCTGCACTGAAATACAATTTAACAGCAAAGGCAAAAAAGAATTGGATGTTGTAAATTCTTAAAATCACTACAATGACGATTGTCCTAGAATCGTTGCTTGTGTAGCAGAGACCAAATCAGTAGATTTCAGACACCACCTTGAGCTCAGCTGACCTTGGGCAGAGGGGGCGGCAGGTGGTGGAGGCGCAGACTCCCTGCCGCACTGATGGAAGACGCCTGCGTCTTCCGCGGGGATGGGGGTACACAGGGCAGGGGGTTAGCAGATCATGTATTTATTTGTTTTCGTAGCTGGCTGGCTGAAGCTCAGAGGCTTTAGCAACTGAGTTGAAAGTGTTTTTAGTTCTGTGAATGGATGATCACAAAGATAAAGCATTTTTCAAAAAGTTGGCGAACCGCTGAGACGCACTGTGGTGTGACGGGCGCTGCAGGCCCGTCGCACTGACGTGTCCGTTTCCATTCCCGGCCTGAGACCTTCCGTGGTTGTGTTGTTCTGATTTCACGTACACCGGAGTAACTGATTTTTGTTTTCTTGTGGAGTTAACACCAAAATAAAAGTTTGAAAAACAGCTGGTTGTCTTTCTTTACCACAGCACAGACCGCTGCTTCCCCCCCCCCCCAAGGGGCATCTGTGGGAGGGAGCAAGCGCAGTTCCCTCCCTTCCAAGGGAAGGCCGGCCCCTCGGCCGCGCACACAGGGTGGGGGCGGGGCGGGGCTGCTGAGAGACCAGGGGACTCTCCCTACCCCCCCGACTCCGCGTCTGGTCCCTCGGTCCTGTGGAGAGCACAGTGTTGTGTCCCTGGTGGTGGACGAAGCTTAGTCCCTGTTCCGAGAAAGGTTGTCTATGAATACTGTACCGGTAAACATGGTACCGTTCAGTGTAAAAGGAAATGGGTGCCTTTTTAAAGAAGCACAAAGGAAGAGCCGGCAGCACTTCCTCCGCCCCAGGAGGTGGCCTCTCCCGCTCTGCGCTCTGCAGAGCGTGTGTGGTGTGGCGTGGTGGCAGCCCTTGCATCTGCGAGCACCATGCAGAGGGTGGGCGGGACTGGAGGGCGGCCTGCCACAGCGCGGCCCCTGCACAGGTGTGGCCGCAGCAGGCGCCTTTCCTGCGCGTTTGCCTCCCTGCGAGGCTGTGTGCTCGGCGGCCACTGGCCTGGAGCCCTTTGTGCTGTGGTGCTTGAAGTACCGTCAGTACAACTGCTTCACAAGCACCCACACCTGCAAGAGCGGGGCGGGATGTGTGCGGGCTTGGCCTGTTTCTGTCCCTGGCATTGCACTGTCACAGCTAAGTGCTGTTTGTGCCACCTCAGGGAATGAAGTCCTCTTTACATGAAGTGTCTACAGCACTCAGGCCACTGCTGCTGGGGTCCGTGCTGCGGCCGCCATCCCTGCAGCTGCTTCTCTGCAGGCTCTGGGCACTCGGGCTTGGTGCTGGGGCAGCGCCCAGCAGGCCGGTGTCTGCCCTGCTGTCCAGGAACGAGGAGGAGGACCCAGCCCGGGTCTTTCTGGAAAGCAGCCAGCAGAGGGCCTCACTGGGGCGGGCAGCTGGTGACAGCCCGTGAGTCCGGGCACCGGTGCCTCACTGAACTGAACTGCAACAGCCGGCAGTGACATCAGCACCTGCTGTTTGGGCGGTGTTGGTGCCGTCTGCGCTAACAATAGTCCCAGCCAGCGTGGGCTCCCTGTGGCTGAGGGCCAGCATTAACTCACAACCTGTGAGGTGGGTACAAGGACCCCATTTCACAGATGGGGCAACAGAGGCACAATGGGACGTGAAGCACGTGGTAGTTGCCCACCCGGTGACCGGTAGCCAGGATTCGAACTGAGCACTGTAATTATAGTCCACCTGACGGCCCTCAAACCTCCCTCTGGCCAAGATTCCCGAACCTATTGGAAAGCATGTGCAGGGGCCGTTGGTGACTGCAGTGAGGCCGTCTTTTCTTCATCACCGTGAGTCCTGTGTCATGAGGGTGTTGACTGTAGGGGTTGGACCCTGTCAGGACACCTGGGTGCAGGTCCTGACTCTGCCGCCCTCTGACCCTGCCCCCTGGGATGGGGCCTGTCATCGCTGGGCCTGGGATCCTGGGCTGTGAATGGAGATCCGAACAGGACCTCTCAGAGGGTCAGCTGCACAGGTGGGGCAATACAGCCACGCAGACGCCAGAGCGCAAAGGGAGGAGACGCGCCCTCCCTCCTCCCCGACCTGCCTCCCTGCAGTCCCTGGACCGGAAAAGAGCGAAGCCGGAAACTCGAAGGAGAAGTTGCCACACCCCAGTCCAGTAACTCAAAAAATCACATCTGTAGGCTGCCCACCACTTCCTCCCCTCCCTGCCCTCCGTGGGTGGTAGCAAAGGCCACCCAGTCTGGGTCAGGTCCTGCGGAGCCTGCCCCCACGGGTGCTGACCGTGGTCAGGCGGCCATCACGTGCGTGGCTGGCTCGGTCCAGCTCTCTCACCCTGAAGTGAGGTCACTGCATCCCCCCTGGTGCTGGCTGGGGTCGAAGGGCAGCGGCCAGGGTGGCGGCAGGACTGTGCTGTAGGGGGTCCCTGGCCCTGAGGGGGAGGGGTGGGCCCGGGGCCTCAGGGCAGGGGAGGCCTCCTGGGGGGGATGCAGGAAGGCCTGTCCTCCGACCTGCTAACCCAGCTGGTCCTGGCTTCCCTGAAGCCCAGCCTGCAGTCAGATGGGGATGATGCACCCCACCCGCTCCCAGACCGCAGGGCTCCACGGGGTGCGGGGCCTCAGCACCCCTGGGTGCGTGCTGGAAGCTAGGTGGCAGGCCCGCCTAGAGCTCAGGCATCCTTCAGCCTCCTTGTCCTCTCTACCCCATCACCGTGTGACCCTGGCTTGGTCACTCTTCCTGACCTGAACGGCACACCTCCTGCTCCCTCCCCCCGGGCCAGCCCAGCCAGTTGCTGAGGGGCAGGCACAGCTTCCCTCACCTCACCTGGCTTGAGGACATTCTCCCTGCTCCTCTGCACATACCCCCTGTCCCCATGCCTCCCCACATCCCGGGGCAGGTCTGGGAGGCGGGGTCAGGCCCCCACACCAGGAGCTCCTGCTCCACGGCCAGAGCTCATCTGCCCTGTACCCACTAACTTGGGGACTCCCGCCGCCGAGGGGCCCATGCAGGGATGCCTGCCCCCACACAGCAAGGAGCTGGGCCTGCGGTGGGCTCATCACCCCCAGGCCAGGGTGACGGCTACCTCACTGCTCCTTGCCCTCCATCTTCGGACCCTTGGGCAGAGGGAAGAGCCTTTAGAGGAACCGGAACTGATGCAGAGCTATGGGCTCCGGTCCCAGCTGTGGGCTCCGGTCCCAGCTGTGGGCTCCGGTCCCCCGAGGGCCTGGGGGTGGGCTGCAGGCTGGCAGCCCAAGGGCACTGTGCCGGTCGCAGCCCAGCTGCTGGGCTTCTGGAGCTCTCCCCCACCCCCTCCGCCCCTGCTGCAGCGGAGCGGCACCGGAGGGCCCTGTGCTGGGGCACTGCGACCCCGCAGCCCCAGGCTGGCGGAGGACCTCTGCAGGTCCTGGCCCCCTCAGGCCTGGTCGGCACCTCTCCTCCGTCTGTGGGGGCACCTGGAGCGCCTGCAGTGTCTGCTCAGGCCCAGGTCCTGCTGGTCACAGTGTCGCTCTACAAGCTGGAAGACACCGGCACCAAGCTTGACAGGCTCCGCCCTGGCCACCCTACGCGTGCACAGGCCTGGGGCCCCACGGGGCCAGTGTGCAGGGGCAAGCCCCAGACTCTCGGCTGCAGCCCTGCACTGTGCGGTCTTGGCCCCCGTACCTACTCTGAGCGCCCCCCCACCCAAAGTAGCCTATGCCCGTCTTGACGCCCACCCTTGGACCCTGTGTTTGCCTGTGTTCCGTCCCGTGCGTGGCCTCTATTCCCCCATCAAGCCCCACCAGGGATGCTAGGTGAGCCCTCCCCCTTCCATGTGGTCAGGTGGTCCTTCCAGGCTCCTCACGTCCCTGCCTCCTCCTTTCCGAGTCCCGGCGCCACCTGCACCTCCCCTTCCCAAGCCTGGTTGGACGTGGGGAGGCCTGGGCTTCCAGGTGACTTCCTTGCACCGAACTGAGGTAGCTGGCTCATAGTCGCCTCAGCCAGACCTGGTGGCTCTGCACCTGGACAAGGCTGGTGAGCAGTGGATCCTTGCGTCGCGCTGACCTTACCAACGCTCACGGTGGAAATGGGGGCAGCAGGCCGGGGGTTCTGAGGGCCGAGGAGCTGGCATTAAATGGCTGGAGGGAAAAAGGCCTTGGAGACAGGGTTTGTAAACAGTCATTCATTCATTCAGCAAACATGTATCAAGAGCCTACTATGTGCTGGGTCCTAAACCTGATGCCAGGGATAAATTTCGTTTTTCTATATCAGGAAACCTCCCTCGGCCCTTGTTTTCTGGAAAGAAAGATGTCACAGTCCCCTCCGTAAACTTCGGAGGCTCGCTCTGGTCTGCCCGAGCTATGGCCACGCTTTTTAGGACATTGAAGGAAAGGCGTGAAGCCCTGCAGGCCCCACAGCCCTCTTGAAGGCTCTTCCTTATCTTGCCCCCAAATAGTCCTGCCCGGCAGCCCAGCGGCCCGGCAGCCCGGCAGCCCCACCCCACTGTGGCGCCCCGGGAAGTCAGCAAGCTGGCCGTGCTGGGAAGCCTGCGGTGCGCTGGGGCTCTGCCCTGACCGGGCTGCCTGGCATCTCCGGGCCGGGCGGGGGCGGGAGGAGGCTCGGTTGTCGGTTTTATACACTCAGCAGGGATGCGGCACTCCTGCAGAACCAGTTACAGGTTTCCTTGGGAAGAGACGCACACAAGGGCCCTTCACCCGCCTGTGACTCGGCAGACCGGCCTTAACATTGTGGTTTCCTTCTTGGCCCTGTGGGCTCCCCTGCACAGCTGTGAGTCAGCAGGGGAGACTGATGCACAGCCTCCAGAAATGGGGCCTCTCCGTCCCAGCCCCCCAGCCCTGCGATCGAGGCAGCAGGAAGAAGCCTGCAGTGGGGCCCTGCAGCCCTGGACAGCGGTCCTCAAACTGTCCTGAGCACCTGCTGGCGCCGTTGTCAGGCTCACTGCCTGATGAGAAATAGATGGGCCCCGACTGGGACCCCAGGAGGCCATGTCCGTGGGGGCCTGGGGAGGGTGACATGCTGGGGGAAAACTGGCTCCCGGCAGGCTCCAGACAGCACCCTTCCCCCCCTCCAGTTCCTGGCCCATGTTTGGAGTTTAGAGGTGGTCCCTCTGTCCCCCCACAAGGGAAGAGGAAGGCTCAGTCATGGCCACTCAGCAGGTACTTTCTACTGAGCCCCCTCCCTGGCCAGCCAGCATGGAGTGGGGGACCCTCCTTTGGGACGGCAGAGATCTGCCATCTGGTCCCCCTGCCGGCTACAGAGGGCGTGGGGGATGTGCAAGGGGATGTACGGGAGGGAGTAGCCAGCCCTGCCAGGTGCGGGCACTGGGGGCGGGTGTGTGGCAAGAAGGAGCCTTGGGGGTTGTTTTTCCGAGGGAGCCGGCAACACCCACCATGCCAGCTGCCAGAGGGAGGCAGGGCGGGGGCTGGACGGAGGTACTGGGACATTTAGGAA